AAAAATCAAAGAGCCTTTGCGTTCTTCCCTTCATACGTCTGCGCTAAAAAACCCACTCAGTATTCGTAGCAAAAAATTGGAGGTGCAAAAGAACCGAGAGTTTAATCAAAACTGCAAAGTTGAGCCCCGGATCTGGCTAGGAAATGACACATTCACGAATTTCCTATCAACCTGTCCCCCGTGAGCAAAAGCACCTACCGATTCCCTATAGACCTTAGCTTGGGCTGTGCCGCACACGTGTGTTTTTCGCTCCCTCCACCACTCGGCGCTGTGCTTCTCGCCGTCGGGCCCGAGTGGAAACGGGACCAACCGCGCGTTTCCACTGCACTTGGCTTCGACCCCTTCAAATGAGTTGCTTAATGCTTTCCATTACGCACGGATTCACGATTGCTGCTTAAAGCCCAGCGGTTTGCGTGGCGTGCCGCGACCTGCGTGTGATAAGAAGCCACCCATTTTTAACAATGGTTGATTCCATTGGATTTTGTGTCCGCACCCGCAGCGAGCAGCGCAACGCCCGGCCGCCAAGTAGTCGGCAAAACCATTACGCGATAGAAGTGCAGAAGTACGCGTCGCGGATCCCGCTCATATGTACCTGTCGTCAGCAGCAAACAGCCCAGCCATAGCAAATTCAGGATGAACAACTTCATCTCGGCATAGAAACCAGATTTCGTTCATCTTTTATAGGCCTCGGAAACTCAAGAAAATCAGAGATCAGGCAAAAATACTGCTGGTTGTTTTTGCCGTTTCCGAAAATTTATACAATTTTATTGCCAAGAGTGGAGGTTTGCAAGGCTTTGCCTTGTTTTTATGAAATGCTGGCGATCACAAACCAGGAGAACGTATGATATTTGGGACTAGAAAATAGTATCGGCTTCAAACACCGAATTGAAAACCGCATAAAAATTCCGCCAAAAACCTAGGCTGCAGGTTTTTTGCTCGGTATAAATTGTAGAGCGGAGTTTTGAATCCCAATAGCTTAAAAAGATTAAAGCTTTAAACAACATTTAAAAATGCGCTTTATCTTCCAGAATTGAGGGTTAAATTAACACTTAATTTTAATTAATTTCACGTGAATTTAAAAATCGAGGGGCAACTTCTGTGAACATTTTGCATCAACAGGATGGAATGGTCCTTGCGGGCCCTTCGTGAAAGTGTAGGTACAAAACGGATGCCTCTTTATTAAACCACACGCTTAAACTTTTGCTTTTTTTAAGTAGCTGAGCATCGCAACAAGGCTGGTTATTCCTAGAAAACAAATTATGATACACATCGTTTGTATTGTAGCCCGAGATTAGCAACACTGGCTATTCGGCATGAGCTTAAGACCAACAGGACATATCCTGCCAACCGGATCTAAATAAAACAAAAAATTAAAGAGCCTAAGGGTCTCAAGACTATCGCGGGGATTACAAAAAGAAAAAGCAACGTACATCCAAAATAATCCGGCGGCGAATAAAACACATGCAGCGGCTCGTGTCAAGCGAACATCCGGTCGGGCACAACATATTGACGGACGTAAAGAACTAGGGGTGATTAATTATTAGCGGGATAGACGGCGCCAGAATCCAACGCTAGTAAGCCAAAAATAGGTGCAACAGCGAAGCGAAGCGTCCAACAATTTTTTTGTGTCAGTTTCGATACCTTCCAGAGAAGTTACTCACGGCTTGAAAGAAAACGTACTTCCTTCCTAGTGGTTGTGTGCGTAGAAACCCCAGAATAATAGGCATGAATAACCTGGGCTATTGAAGGTCGTCAAAGGGAAAGAATTTAGCGCCCAAATACGGCATGGTTAACAAAAGTTTTACTAAAGCCAACCCCTTTTATACCTTATCTTAAAAAAACTTTATCATATCCTAAAAACCTACATGGATATTCCTTCATTTACATGCGAGGCTTTCAAAGTATAGATTTGGTTGGGTGTCGCGCTCACATAGCCGGGCGCTTTTGGCTACCATTAAAGGGGCTCCGAAATCTGGTCCACGATATGAAATCGCCGCCCACCCAAAATGTCGTGTTCGCCCCGAGAACATTTCGGTTTTACCGGAAATATTTTACGTTTTTCCCCAATGGAAATTATTCTTTCTGGGACTTATGGGCATTGATCCTTTCGTTTTTGACCAGTAGGTTCAACTCCCGCACGCATCGAATTTTGACACTCCGAGCCCCTTTACGGTGGGGAGGTTTTGTGTAAACTGCCCACGAATTACGCTTTTCAACGCTGGCTCGAAATGTATTAGATTGTGGAGCACGAGGTAGGCAATTCTCAAGAAGTGGTCGATTTTCGCGTGTCCAGCGCATTTAAAAGGACGAAAAATCGTCTTCACTGGACTCCCACAATCGGCCCACTTTACCCGGGTGCATGCCGCTTCCACGATGCATCCATTAAGGACACACACCGTCTTTCGACGCTGAAAATTGGTAGAATCGTGAATTCTCACATATTATACCATGAATCCCCTGCAAAAACACTAAAAGAAATCCAGTAAATAGAGAGCCATCAAACTTACTTCCGCACGGGTCCCCCATTCGTGGCGAGACCCTAAAGATTGGCCCATCTGTTAATGCGTATTTAACAGACCACAGAGATCAGAGGAGTGAAGGAAAACACGGCGAGGCGTATTACAGAAAATGACAGAACTATCATTGTCAAGAGTATCCTTTTTGTATCTTATAAAAGCTTCGTAGCTGATCACTGCCTAGCACCGCGAATCGGATTAATTGGCCCGGGTGGCCTGATTGTAGTTTAACCCTGCCGGAAACCGAACTTTCTATCCCCAAAGATTTTAAGCCCGAAAAGCCGGATGAAGCGTCGATGCTGGACCAGCGTTTTTGACTTGAGGTTGATAAGGAAAACTAGAGTGAAAAACCAAACAGATACAGAATAGGGAGAGAAAGAGAGCGAGAGAGAGAGAGAGAGAGAGAGAGAGAGAGAGAGGGAGGGAGGGGGAAAAAGCGATAGAGGTAGAAAGAGAAGTGGAGAGAGAAAGAGCGAGAGCCTGGGAGACAGTGGAGGAGAGGGGAGGGCGGGGGGCGAGAGCGAGGGAGAAACGAAGTGAGAGAGAGAGAGAGAAAGAAACAAAGAGGGTGAGAGAAGGAGTTAGAAAGTGAGCGGGAGAGAGAGTGAGCGTTAGATAGAGAGTGTATGAGCGTAAGCCTTCCCTTTTCTAAAAAACAAAACCATAAAACCATAAAATTCAGTACGAAAAACCATCGATTCATGCCATAAAACACTTTATTAAGATGTTGCCATGTGATCTTCAAAAAAAATTCGCCGAAAACAACCGGGAAGCGATAGATAATGCATTAATGGACTGGAATTGGCGAGTAGAAGAGACACCAGATTTTTTCCTTTTCCCTCCGCCTAGACGATGAAGATGTCGCGGCCGACGCGGTAGTCCTCGTTGTGCTTCGGCTTCTTTCTGAAAAGGAAAACGTGCTACAAAAATCGACTAAAAATACCTTAAAAATGTATACCTCTAAAAATCAGGGTACCATTTTGGCTGAATAAAGCCATTAAAACTGATTTAAATCGAAAATTTCGAGTGTCCCAGCCGTTTTAAAAGGCCAAACAAGACATTGCTGTGGATTTTTAAGGTTTGACCAGGGTTGAAAAGCCGCTTCAAGCGACTTTTCAACCCTGGCCCCGTCCAACCCCATAATATTCTTCGCTCTGCATGGGTCTCTCGAATGCCCTGCATTGAAAAAATGAAAAACGCCCCTCTCTCGCATTATATATAGGCTAACGTCACTTCCGGAGTATGCTAATTTTTCCTAACAAAGAGATCAGCCGATTTTTCAACAAAACTTAATTTTAATGTCGAAAATAGCAGAATTTGCAACATTTGAAAGCGTGCAGTTATCCCAGAGCCATTACGCATCTAATGACGTATCATGCGTCGCTTAATACCCTTCCCTTCTTGAGATATCTTCCGGACACCCTGACGGAAGTTGCATGCAAAGTGGCATCACACACACTAACACACACACCGGATTTTCGGCATACAGCCCAAGAAATGGTTTTTACGTATTTTACCGCCACGTAAGCGCGACACAGTACAGTACTGCAGTTACATTGCGTAATCGATTACGACATTTTTAATGGCTAACCGGCGCAAACGTTGCGTGTCGTGGCACGTAGGCATTTTTAGCGTGACAAAAAATTCATAGCCATGCCAATAGCAAGATAATTCACAGCTATGGTCCATTTAGGAAATTTTAATGAGGTGATGCCTTCAAATTTTACAGTCCTACTGTAAATGGAAACGATTTTCAGCTGTTTTAGGTGATTTTTGTCCGTTTTTAGACGGAATTCCGCTACCATACCCCTCTTGAGCCTCTTAGCCGTCTTCTCGGCGGCCTCATCCGGCGGCTCATCCCCTTGAAGCGGCCGATCGAGCAGCTCGTGTCGCCCTTCGTCTCATCCTACAAAAATAGCAAATTGAGTAATCGTTAAATTACGGCTGAAAGGCATTAATAGACACCACAAATACGATGCGATACCCCAGTGGTCATCTTGTTCTCGACGCGCGCCTTTCACGCACGCCTGAACTCATCGCGGTCGCTGTCCGGGTCCTCGGTGAGTTCTTTTTTTCTAGATCGGATTTTGTTTTCTAAATTTTCATAAATTCGATACCTTAACCTCCTCCTTGGGCGGGCGGTTTGAGGACAAAATTCGGCAAGATTTTGCCCAGGAAATCCGGGGCCACGGCGCCAATGTTGATCTCATGTAGCGCCAAAAAAAAAAGGGGGTTGGAGGTGTCGCTGTCCCTTTAAGTGTTCCGGGAACTGTAAATTCTACTCAAAATCGTAAAAAATGTTGCTATATCTCGCTCTGTCACTCGCTCTCATCACTCTCTCTCTCTCTCTCTCTCTCTCTCTCTCTCTCTCTCGCTCTTATGTCTCTGCTCTCTGTCTGTCTCTCCTCTCTGTCTCCTCACCCTCCCGGCGCACTTGTCGATGATCTCGTGCAGAAGCACACATTCCGCCGATCGGTCTCATCAAAAGTACGGAGGATGCCGGAACAGCTGCTCAAAGTCGGGCGGCAGCAACTTGTCGAAGTTCTTGACTGAAAAAGCAGGCTAGCAGAGAACTTTGAGCAATTTTCCAGCTCCCCGAAAATTCCCCACATTTCCCCTGTCGCATCTTGACCTTGTCGTTGAGCATCTTCGCCGGCTCCTTGCTCTTCCACGCAGGCACCGCGCCCATCTTGAACTTTGCACGTCGATAAAGGAGAACAACCTGGGGGCGGGAATTTAAAGGTGTGGTGACAGCAAGAATACAGTGACTCGAGGTCGTCGCGAAAGTGGACGGTCTTCTCCCGCTGGGCGGCCACACTCTGGAACACCTTCGAGCCGCGGATCGACGATTTGTAGTCGTCTTTGTAGACTCTTAATGGGTAAGGTACTTTCCAAACGACGGAAGTTTTGGACATACGGTACTGGTAATTCCGGAATACGGTAATTTTGCGGGCTACGATGCTGTACTGTAATTTATCGTATACTGTACTTTCCAAATGACCGTGCCACAGGTAATAATTTGAGATCTTACGGTACTTTCCGTATCGTCTCGTATTCCGATTACGATACTTTCCAACCGACGCGCTGAATTACAGTATTCCGCTGGCTACAGTAATTTTTGAGTTACGGAACTAGCCTAGGTACGCTACTTTCCAAATGACGACGTCACAAAATACGGTATCACTGACCTACGGTATCGTTCTAGTTGCGGAAAACCGTTGAGTATGTTACTTTCCAAATAACGACATTTGGTGCTTACTGAGGTTTACAAATACGGCATTTGAGGCCTACGACACTTTAATAATTACGCAGTTGTACGACCCGTCTTAAAAACCGACTTATGTTCCCTGTTGCCCTTCTTGACGTAGTGCAGATGCGAGTAGCCGACGACGAACACCAGCGACTCGTGCACGTGGCTGCCCACGCAGAACGACTTCGGCGAGACGCGGCTGGAGAGAGAACAATGCTGATTATCAAGTGACCACAACTGACCGATGCACGTAGCCGAGGCGGTGCAGCTCGGAGAGGGCGCGCAGGATTTGGTCGCACATGTAGAAGGCCATTTGGTGACTGAAAAACCGGTTGCGTGGGGAATAAAAATGGCTTTAGGTTTCTGGGCACTTGTGCATTATCGGGGAGGATGGACAATTTTTCACCAGCATCCAGCTGCGTACGTGAAATTGCGCTGCAGATGAAGCTGGCGCAGGTCGTCGAGGTTGGGGCCGAGCAGCTCGCAGGTGTGGAAACGGAGCTCATTCAGCTCGCCAAAGTCGCCCGTTTGCTTCGTCACGCTAAAGTAATGATCTTCTCCTGAATACGGTAGCATTCCCCACTTGATAAGATGGCGACTGTAGCGACGGTCGGCCAGCGGGTATCGTTGCGCCAAGCGGATGAAGCACTGGAAATCGGCATTTTAAAGGGACCGGAAAGGCAGGGCAATCAATTCTAGGGAGCTTTCGCATTATCGGGGGTGGGGTGGCTCTAGAAATACCGCAACCGTAATTATTTTGATAATTTTTTTAGTGACCGTATTTAAAGCGCAAAAACTGTCTTAAGCACATTAAAAAAATACAAAACTTTGAAATTTTGGTAAATGAATCAGCGATTTTGGTCGAAAATCGATGTTTTGTTCTTTTTAACAATTTGTAAATTTTTTACAGCTTAAGAATAAAGAAAAAGTTTAGAATTGCTTACCCTATTTATACAAAAAACTTGGATTCTACGCAATATCCCAACTAATGGAAAAAGAACCGGCACCTCTCTCAAGCTTAACTTTTAGACTAACTTCTTTGATTTATAGTAAACATTCTACACTAAAAAATTTGGCATTCGCTCCATAATACCCCCCTCCGATAATGCAAAGAACCCCAAAATCCATAGCCTCTCTTTGCCAATCCCTTTAAAGCTCCTCCTCACATCGAGCGATCTGAACGCCTTGGGGCAATTAATGTGCTCGGTGCGCAGGCACATCCGCGTCTTCTCCACCGGCTCCTCGGCCTGAAGAAAATAAATATCAGAAATTTCCCAAAGAATCTCTGCTCCCTTGCCCACCTCGTAGACATCGCCAAACTCGCCAAAGTGCAGCACGCTGATGATCTTGAGCGGATCGCCGAGGATCGTCTGCAGACGGTGCCCACCGGGATCACCTGATGCTCGTACTGCAAATTTGACGTTTTTGGTGCTTTTGCATCATCGGGGGGGGGAGAGGTCGAAATCATCTACCTTCTGGGTGACGGTCATGAAGGAAATGCCTGGTTTTTGGCAGGATTACGTCATGCATGAGAACTATGCAAATTACACAATTTCCGGTCTAATCAAGGCGGAGAAATTGAATTTCAATTTTGGGTACTGGACTATTAGTGGGGGGAGAACAGATATCAGAGAGACAGCCAACTTTTTCCTTGGTATCCAATTGTTTCTAAGTACAATTCGGATAAGCCGGGGGGGATTTTAGGCGAGGGAAACCAGCTTTTTTTTTGTCGGCCCTGGTGGGGATAGTAATCAAATATAAAGTGTTTTCACATTGTTTTTAGCAAAATTTAAGCCTATTTGAATCAAGGAAAAACTTTTGAAAAAGTTAGAAAAACTTTTGAAAAAGTCGAAAATTTGGTCATTTTTGGGCCGAAAAAATGGATTTTTCGACCTAAAATTAAAGTTTTTAATTAAGTTTTGTAAAGTTTTTATGTTTAAGAATAGCTATAACAATTTAGAAACACTTCCACTATTTATATAAAAAATATAGGCTTGGGCGGAAAAAAGTTCGGTTTCCCGCCCGCCTAAAATCCCCCCGCTTATCCGAATTGTACCGTTTCTAATATAAATTGAGGAAGCGTTTCTGGGCTTTTTTTGCGATTCCTAAAACACAAATACTTTAAAAGTTTTTTCCTTTTTTTTGTCAATATGTTAAAAATTTGTAGTTTCGCCGAAACATCACATTACATCTCCAATTTTTATAAATTTTAGAATTTATAGATCCGGTAGAGTCTAGGAACCCCACCCCCAGACGGCACCAACTTTTGTGTCTCGCCCTCCTTTGTTCTAGCGATCTCTAAAGTATACCAAAATGCTCGCAGTAGGCTAATTAGTCAGAATAAATTGCATTTGAGTCGAAAAAAGTAGCGAAAAATAAAAATAAGGAAGGGAGAAAAGTTGAAAAGTCGGTTGGGGGGGTTCCTAGACTTAGCCATAGAGATTTTCCGCTTGAAATCTAATTAAAAATTTATTGAACTTAATTTAAACATTTATTTTACATTACTAAGCGCTTCAGGATAATGCGAAAGTAAAGGTGGCTTTGATCTCGATCCAGAAGTCGCAGCACAGTCCAATTTTTCAAACGCTAGTCAAACACTTTACTTTTTCGGGCCGGCGCTCGCCTTCAATTGCCAAAAAATATCGGCATTTAGATTTTTCTGGGTGGTGCCGGGCGGGGGCAGGGAGGTGGCTTGTAGGGATTGTTGGCACAGATGTCGAATTACACGAAAATCTGTGGATAAAAGGATGGGCATGGGTCAGTGGGGCGGAAAAGTCACCAACGATGTTCCGCTCTCACTACTTTCTGCATTGGGGCTGTACTCGCTGCGCAGGTTGGTCATCTACGGTTTTAGAGGGAGAGAGAGCAATGGTGAGCGAGAAAGAGATAGCGAGAGAGAGAGTGAGAGGGAGAGAGGGAAAGAAAGAGAGGGAAAGTGAGAGAGAGGGAGAGGAAGAGATGTAACTTCTATATTTTTCAAAACCTAGGCATTCCTTTGATTCCTATGGTCCTGGTGCTCCCAGTTGCCCAGCTTTCACCCCCACCGACCTGAGCAGCGTCAAGGCTCGTATGTTTTTTATTTAAAAGGAACCTGCCACAAAGGCAATGCCATGGCTTTTTAGTTATAAATCCGCTTTGAATTTTGCCGCGCCCGTGATACGCAACGGACTTTTCATGCAAATCAAAAATTTATCCCCGACCCGTGCGCGTTCCGCGCGCTGCGTAGCGTATGTATGGCAGCAACACAATGTATAAAGCTCCGGGTCAAATCCATAACTTAAAGCTTGCACGTCCCTTTGGCGTCTAATTGAGCGGCCGTCAACGGTGTGTATAGCGACCCGACCCTTATCTGTCGCTACATCTTCACTATCTGGGCAACAACAATGCCTGCGTTACAGTAAATTAAAAAATTAGTAATTTTATAATCAGCTTCAGGCCGCCAGCCTCTGCCAGAAGTCGACGATACATCGACCCGAACTCCGTAGCTGGACGTAAGTCACCCTGAAAAGCGTCATCCGCGTCACGAAGCGCGCAATTTGCTTGACCCGCTCGAAGACGTCGTATTCAATTACACATTGGAAATGCGGCAGGCATATTTTGTGTCGCAGAAAAGCACTCTTGAATTGAATCACACGTACCTCTTGAACTTGTTGAAGACATCGGAGTCCGTGACCGTAAGGAAAACGGCAGGCGTCGCCTGACGGCCCGTAACAAAAAATCTACGTGAATCCAAATTCAATGGAAACCCTGATATAAGCGTACTTTGCCTATCCTTTTACCCCTTTCTAGCCGCCGACGCCAGCGGAACTGCCCGAAAACCACGCACTGCGTCTCCGGCTCGACCACCAATGGCTACACGGGCAGCTTCTGTGTCTTTGACAGCTACGGACGTATTACTACCACTACTACCCTTAATGGCGTAATGAATAAAGCGAAGCAACAGCGACGGGCTTACCGGGATCAAAAATTTTCATTCTCCCCACCGGCTGAAAATAGTTATGACGTAAAATCGGACGGCTCGGAATCTGCGCGAACTTCGTAGCTAAGCGGCATGGGCTTGGCTTGGGCCCGGCCGGTTTTGGCGTAGGCTTACAGTGAGCTCCGGCTTTGGCCAAGGCTTACGAGGGAAGCGTACCGACCGATGGGAAATTGACACGAAGCATGGTGGATCTCATGGAATCGGATACGGGGATTCCGATCCTGTTATGAGAAACTGCTAAACAAAACGGAGAAAAAGTTATGAAACTTCAAAGTTGGTAAAATCCCCCATTGAAATCGGTGTTGTATCGGGCTGGAAGGGCCGTGGGATGGAAATTTGCGACAACCCATTAAGTGCATCTTGTTCCTCCGAAAAATTCTTTCGAATGAGGTGTAATACTTTTTATTTGCAAATAATTCACCAAAAATATTTTTTGAATTCACGGAGGGAAATATGACTGGGGGAGGCAAAGGGCCTGTCGGGGTCATCGAAAAAATTTCATCAATTCCTTGGACCCTTACAGGCCGATAAGACCGATTTTCAGCGATTTTACCACGTTTGAGGCTTCCCAACTTATTCTCCGTTTAGTTTATCGATTTGAATGGCAACATCGGAATCACCGTGTCCCAGAATCATATCCACTATGTTTTGTGACCAGTTTCCCCTGGGCCCCCCGATCAATTGCCTCTGTTGGTTAAGGGTTGGCTTGAAGCAGACTTAGCTTTCTCTTAGAAGCTTAGTTAAGGTTTAACTTCGGCATGGCTTTTCTTTAGCTTAGGCCGGTTCCAAGCCTATCAACTTGGGAAATTCATTTCGGTGTTGAGAATCAGAGAGAGAAAAAAGGGTGGGAGCGAGAGATAGAGAGAGGAAAAGAGAGAGACAGAGAGAGAGAGAGAGAGAGAGAGAGAGAGAGAGAGAGGAAAGGAGAACAAGAGAGAGAGAGAGCGAAGAGAAGGAGAGTCCGGAGCAGACTGCTAAAGCTCACTTGACAAGTTGTATCTTCCCAGAGTAATTTTCAAAAAAAAAAAAGCTTTTACGACGCGTTTTGTAGCGCTTGATGAGCTCAGCTGGTTTCTAGTTTCAAAAAGTTTGCAAGCCGCTTATTGGGGGAGGTTTTAACAAAGACAGAAAATCGGTTAATTTTGGTCCCAACTTTCAAGCCTTGTTAAAAATCATAAAAATGTTTCCCGACAAGATTAGCGTCGCCACTGTGTAGAGCATCAAAGTACAAAATCGTATATTACGTCTAGCTCCTAGATCAACAGGGCTTTCAAAAAAATGCCAGAA